CACATACACACACAAACGCACATACAAACAAACATACACACACATATATCTCAATCTACAATGAAATAGTTCTTATTCATCCATAACAAGAGTACCCTCACGTAGCCCTATACTATATCCCCCTCAGCCACCACCCTCTAACAAAGGATCCCTTGGTTCCCACTAATATTCATAAGTCTGGCGGAAGCGAAGGTCCGAGTGGTCCTTAGCTGTGATTGGTCTATAGGCAGAAGACCCATCCAGGGGCGTAATAAGCACGGGGTTATCAGGATGGACGAAAAACACCACAGATCGCCGAGGACTTCTGCGCCGGGCTTCTTCGGGAGGAATCAAAACGCGATGTTCCTGGCGGCGGTTGGGCGGGAAGGGAAAGTCAGATGAGGAAGACGGCAGATGGAGGCATCGGTTGAGATATTGGAAAGGATGATAGAGGTAATAGTGTGTGAGATAAAGAGAGGGAAGGAAGGGAGAGAGGGAGACAGATAGAAAAGGGGAGGCAGAGTATATATATATATATATATATACATATATATATATATATATATATATATATATATATACATATATATATATATATGTATATATATATATATATATATATATATATATATATACATATATATATATATATATATATATATATATATATATATATATATATATATATAAACACACACACACACACACACACACACACACACACACACACACACACATATACATATATATATATATATATATATATATAATATATATATATATATATATATATAAAATATATTTATACATATATATATATATATATATATATATATATATATATATATATATATATATATATATATACATATATATATATTCATATATAAGAAAAATATTACTAAAAAGTCGGCAATCTCCCTCACCGTAGCCCTGAGTTTGCCGGACGTCCAGAACTGCAAGATATCCCCGACATTCACTAGCACCGCGCCAGGAACCGGGACAGCGTCGATCCAGCGCCCTACCGTGTCCTTCACCTGGAAAGAGAGAGAGAGAGAAAAAAAGAAGAAGAAAAAGAAATATAAGTGAAAAGAAAAAAATATAAAACGACTAGGTTCCTTTCCTGTAGTGCAAAAAATTTACATGATTATTTCTTTTTCCGGAATTTAGAATAATTTTCTTAATTGTCTTTCTGCTCTTATCGTACAAAATATATTTTTTTTAATCTAAAATTTCGTTGGCAGGATTCTAGGAATGAAAAAAAAAACTGATATTTTTTTAGGCAATTATGCACTTGACATATTAATGTTTCTTCATTAAATGCAACATTGCCTCAGTAATGGGTAATGGTTAATGGACATCGATGCATTTCGAGTAACTTGTCAAGCAAATCTCCACTGCTATGAATAAAATAGTAGTAATTGTAATAGTAACAGCAGAAGCAGTGCTTGTAGTGAAGTAGTAGTAGAAGTAGAAGAAGAAAAGGAACTGGAAGGAAAAGGAGAAGATGGAGAAGAAGATGAAGAAGAAAGAGGAAGAAGAAGAAGAAAAGGAACCGGAAGGAGAAGGAGAAGATGGAGAAGAAGAAAAAGGAGACGAAGAAAGAGGAAGAAGAAGAAAAAAAAGAAGGAGAAGAAGAAAGAGGAAGAAGAAGGAGAAGAAGAAAGAGGAAGAAGAAAGAAGAAGAAGAAGGAGGAAGAAGAAAGAGATAATGAGGTAAAAGAAGAAAGAGGAAGAAGAAGAAAAAGAAGAAGATGAAGAAAAAGGAGAAGAAGAAAGAGGAAGAAGAAGAAAGAGGAAGAAGAAGAAAAAGAAGAAGATGAAGAAAAAGGAGAAGAAGAAGGAGAAGAAGAAAGAAGAAGAAGAAGAAGAAGAAAAACGAGAAAAAGAAAGAGGAAAAGGTAGAAGAAGTAAGAGGAAGAAAAAGGAGAAGAAGACAGAGGAAAAAGAAGAAAAAAAGAGAAATAAAAAACAGATATGAAACAAAAGAAAATCGAGGAGAGGAGACAGAAAAAGCAGCAGAAAATAGAGAGAAGCAACCCCTTACACACCTGCAAGCCACCGACATCATCTTGGAAGAGCAGCGTGACTGTGCCGTAGTCCGTATGAGCTGCGCAGCGAATAGAACCTTCTGGGACGGACTCCGGCAGGCTAGGGTAGTAGAGGATCCTAAGGCAGGTTGTGTTGTCTTCGGTGCACATCTGCTGGTGGTTTGATACGAAGAAGGCTGGTTCTAGGCCTGTCGAAGGGAAGGGGTTGGATGTTTTATTTTTTTGAGTGGAAAAAAAGGTCTGTTTGTTTGGTCTTTTGTCTGTTCATCATCATCATCATTTATATTATTATAATTATTATCATTTTCATTGGTTTTGTTATTCCTGATTAGCTCGATCAGCTATGGCTTGACCTGACCTCATATTCCAGACCGGAGTTACAACTACTGCTCTTTTTTATTTCCTGTCTGCTTAAACACTATTTACTCTGATCTTGTTTCAATAAAATTCTACAATCGTACGTGTTTAGA